GGCCTCCACTCTACTGGTGTTTAAATCCTGTCTAAAAACTCATCTTTTTACTTTGACTATAACGAAATCAATTAATAAACGCCATGTTGTGTATTTGAAATTATGCTATTAATATTTTACTTATTGTATTTGGGCTATTGACAGTGTACAGCACTTTGGTCGGCTTTCAGCTGTTTTTAAATGTGCTTTAGAAATAAACTTGAACCCCTATCACTTACAGACATTTTTGAGAGTTATAAGCACAAAATCTAACATTAAATGACCAGCAGGTGGCGCTCAGGTGGTCTTGGGTCATGCTGCTGATGTTTCTACAGCAGTCGGTTTAAGAATCTTGAGCAGAAACAGGTGAAACTGAAAACTGTCAGTGGTAAGACAGAGACTCCAAACGGTCACCAGAAATGTTTTTGTCGCTCTTCCCAATCAATCTGGCAAATTTCACAACTGTCGTCCAAGTGTTTCTGTGGGCAGCCATAGACTACAACAGCAGAAGAACAACAAGCAAACCATCCACAGCACTGAGCTCGTCATTCATTACTTTGGAAGAACAGCTCAAACCAACAATGCAAACGATGCCTGATCTGCAGATCAAAACCACAGAGAAAGACACACACACACACACACACCTAATTCTGGTCCACTGCTGGAACAGATGCAGATCATTTTACATCAGCGTAATAGTACATCCTGCTACAAAATGCATCAGCTTCCACAGCCAGATAAAATCAATGGTTGATCTTCGCCAGAACACACCTGTTAGGAATTAAAGAAACAGGCTCCAAATATTGTATAATCAAGAAAAAGTGACCTTAAACTGACACCTTAGTTTTCAGAAAGGCTCAGTTCTGCATCTTACCGATATGTCAAGATTCCGTGTCAAGTGACCAACAACATGTGATTTCAACCTCTGCATCTCAAAGATCTTCTGCATAAAATCATAAACTGCGGCAGCTCCATGACATCCACCCGCACTCTATTATTCAATCCTAGACGGAGCTCAAAGTCTCTCAAAACTTAATCAATGTAGTAACACATCTGCTTAATTACTGACATTATATTTCCCCCCCCAGCGTTTTTCTCTGTTATCTAAACATCACATGGGGTTTTTAGTTCCTTTCCAAGCTGCTTTTGGCTTTCACACTAGAGATGTTATGTACTATGTAGAATGTGTTGTGCATAAATATTATGCCACAACTTTCAAAGAACTCCTCAGATAATCTGCTTAGTGTTGAGTAATGTGATCAACATTTTAAACTTGTCGTTTATATGCATCATTTAACCACCGCAGTAATACACATCACTAAATAGCAATTAGTCACTACACCAAATTACTATACATTGAACAAAACTTAATAATTTCCCATATTACCACAAGACAAATTAATAACTCTAATGAACAATTTAATAACAAATTCTACAACTACTGTGTGTCCAACTTTACCTGCATACATACAGCACACGTGTAACGGGGCGGACGAGACGTGAGACGTGCGGATCCATGTGCAAGCTTTATTTAAAGCAGCGAGGTCAGAAACACAGGCAGGGTCGAACAAGGGCAAACAGGTATATGGCGGGCAAGACACAAGAATAATCCTAGGGCTAGCGAAGGTGAACAGAATCAAAAGGGCGAGATTAGAGGGATAAATCCAGGAACACAGGAAAAGGTCCAGGCATGGGCAAACAGAGTCCAAACGGCAAAACGACAGGGCAATCCAAAAACAAAGGCAGCAATACATGCACGGGAAAACAGGCAAGGCAAGACTAGACTAAACTAAACTAGGAACTAAGAAAAAGACAAAACTAAGACAATAAACAGGGTCCGTATAGCAGCTAACACTAGGAGAGTGAAAAACGCTAGACAATACTCAGCAGTGAGAGAGAGGAAGTCCATGGCTTATGTAGCATGTCTGATTGGATTCAGCTGTGTGTGTGTGTGTGTGTGTGTGAGATCAGTGCATTCAGCTGCGTGCGTGTAATCAGTGCAATGGTTGATGGGAAATGCAGTCCAGGGTGATGTGTAACAGTCTGTGTGGTGTGAGAGTCAATGTAATGGGAGAAGGGTGACCTCTGATGGCAAACAGATGGAAGTTCATGGACCGGATTCGTGACAGAGCCCCCCCCACCCCCCCCAAGGAGCGGCTTCCAGACGCTCAAAACATTTTACGATTCCGGAGGGAGGTGGAGCGGAGGCGAACAGAGGGAGGGATGGAGGGCCAGGTCCATGTGGAAGTGGAGAGACTGGGAACTGAGGCAAAGCCGGCAGAGCAGAGTACCAAGGTGAAGCAGACGGAACAGGAACCCACCAGGGCGGAGCAGACAGAGCAGGAGCCCTCCGTGGGCCTAACTCGGGAACAGGAGCCCTCCGTGGGCCTAACTCGGGAACAGGAGCCCTCCGTGGGCCTAACTCGGGAACGGGAGCCCTCCGTGGGCCTAACTCGGGAACGGGAGCCCTCCGTGGGCCTAACTCGGGAACAGGAGCCCTCCGTGGGCCTAACTCGGGAACAGGAGTCCTCCCTGGTAGAGACTGGGACCTGGGGAAAACTGAGACACAAGAGACTGACAGAGCATATACGGTCTCATGGATGGGACAGACAGTTCTTTCACAAACGGCCTTCATAGCCGGGACAGAACAGGTAAAGAGTTCACAAACGGCCTCCATAGCCGTGACAGGGTGGGATGAGGATTCACAGACGGCCTCCTTAGCCGTGATGGGACAGGCAGAGAGTTCACAAACGTCCTCCATAGCCATGACAGGACAAACAGGAAGTTCATAAATGGCCTCCATAGGCATGACAGGACAAACAGGAAGTTCATAGGTGGGTACTACTGACACCT